CTCCCGCCGCCGCTCTGCGGCGTCAGCCGGCGCAGGGGGTTTCTGCTGGGATGCAGCGGGGCAGCTGTGTGTCCCGGGGCTGATTCCAGACTTGTCCTTCCTCCTGGTTCCAGGCGCAGCCGTCAGACACTGTGATGAGGAGAAGGGCTGGCTGGAGCCAGATCTCTTCAACTGCACTTCACCTGCCTTCAAGGAGCTCTCCATGCTGGTAATGTCCTCGTGGCTCTGCAGGCCTGACAAGCAGGAGCAATATAAACTAGGGCTCACTGCCAGATTCCAAAGAGCTCCACAGACCCCTCCACAGGCACCTAGAGGAGGAGTGAGCTTTGCCACGGTGCTCAGCACCTTTCCCTTCTCATCTCCTGCACAAAACCCGTCTTTGGGGCATTGATCTGAGCAGGAATTTACTTTTCTGTAGTCTATTCTCTGGAGATCAGATGATCACTGGAGACTAAGTCATCTCCAAGAGATGCCCCTGTCCCAGCAGGCACCACTGGGAATGTCCTCAGCTTGTGCCATGGTTTCAGAGCCTGTCCCTGGGCCTGCAGCACTCACCTCCTGCTCTCTTGGAGTCGTGCCGCGTGCTGTGGAGGTCCCGTGCGGTGTTTAATCCTCTCCTTCCTCCTTGCCGGCAGCTGGAGGGCTTGGAGAGGAATGAGACTGAACTCAACACAATTGAAGCCAAGAAGCTGGCCCACCGGCTCCGGGCCGTGACAGACCACATGGACCACTACTTCGGCAATGACGTGCACATCACGTACCGCCTGCTGTCCCGCCTCATGGCCTTCGAGAGCCGGCAGCGCGGCTTCGGCCTGACGGCCACGCAGGACGCCCACTTCAACGAGGTGAGTCAGAGAATCATAGAATGCTTAAGGTTGGAAGGGACCTCTAGAGGTCATCTAGTCCAACCCCCCTGTCCTTTGGGAAGATCCTGAACCCGCAGCCGGAGTGCGGGGCCGTGGCCAGGCTGCCTTGTACTGCACAGGCATTGACCCACTGCAGTGATACCAGTAGGGACTGGGGTGCAGGATGAGCAAGGAGAAGCTGAAGGAGCAAACGTTGCTAATCCCGGGGACGGGAAGTCAAAGAGCGACCTTGTTGCTGTCTTCAGCTCCTCTAAAGAAGGAATGCAGAGATATAGAGCCAGGCTCTTCTCAGAGGTGCCCAGTGAAAGGGTGAGAGGGAACAGACAGGCTGCAACAAGGGGAATTGTGATGAGGAGTGAAGCAAGCGGTTATCCCCATGAGGGTGGTCAGACCTCGTAGGGCCCAGGTACAGGGGGAAGCTCCAGCCTTTGAGACAGTCCAAATCTGTCTGGCTGAGGCCCTGATCCAGGTACCCTGTCTTGGGCAGAGGCTGGACCAGAAACCTTCAGGTCCCTCCCCACCTCTGTTGCTTTGTGAGCTGAGGGTGACTGAGGGCAGAGGGTGCCACGATGCCAAGGCAGGATGGGCAGATGGGTGATCTTTCCTTTGCCTTAGACTGTGGGTTAGAGGCTGGAGTCAAACGGGTACAGGAGGAAACCCCAACAGGCTGCAGGAGGCCCCCGCTCTCGCTGCCAGCGCTGGCGTCAGGCAGTGTCTCTGCAGGCACTGGCTGAAGAGCTTTCAGAAATGGGGCCTCCCATGGGAGAAAGATCCCCTATTCCTGTGTCCTGGCACAGCACGGGGGGCAGAGGACACAGCTCGGATAGCCGTGGGGTGCCCAGGACGCTAAGGCCTGTCCCCCTGGCCCCTAACCCCCACTGTGTGTCCGTGCAGAACCTGCTGCGTGCGGGCAGCTCCGTGCTGGCGCCCGAGAACCGGGAGCACTGGGCCATGCTGCCCTGCAGCGAGCACGGCAGCGCCAGCCTCATGGAGCAGCTGCGCGACTACTCGGGCACCCTGGCCAGCAACATGAAACTCACCTACCTCAACCCCGTCGGCGTCGTCACCCCCAACATCAGTGAGTAGGAGCTGGCTGCTAGGCCCAGCTGCGGTGGGGTGGAGTCGCTCTTTCATTTTTTAAAAGAAAGGGCTGAAATCAGGGGTTTGCCCTTTTTATTTTTCCCTCTTCTCACCTTTGTGAGAAGCTTTGTGTTGACAAAGGACACAAAGCAATGAGCAAAGTCACCATTCAGTGCTGCTGAGTGGGAAAATGAGTGAAGGGGGTCTTGAATGCAACATAGGTCTGAGCTGCTGTGAAAGGTTAGCCCCATGCTGAGGGAGCCACTGAGGCTGGTTTGTGGGTATTTCAGCTCTCCCAAAGATGGGAGTGGAGCGGGAAGCTGTCCCGGTCCCGCGTCCCTGCAAGGGCTGTGCTGGGAAGGAGCCCTGTGAATATTGGGAATGCTGCATCGTGCCTGAACACAGTGGGGACACCTGCAGCCCGGCCCGTGGCTTTTACGCTCCCCTTGCCATGTCCTGGGCGCAGGATGGCCCAGGTCGTGGTGTGGGCGGCCCTTTAGAGCCGCCTCTCGTTCTGTCCCCACGCGCAGTGCTGAGCATCGACCGCATGGAGAGCCGCTCGCACGCGCGCCGGCGCTACCCGCGCTACCACAGCAGCCTGTTCCGCGGCCAGCCCGCCTGGGACCCGCACACGCACGTGGTGCTGCCGCTGTCCGTGCTGAGCCCCCCGAGGGCTGAAGGTGAGCAGGGAGCGCTGCCCGGGGAGCAGCGCGGGCGCCGGGGCGCGCGTGTCCCTGCAGACACCTGGCTCTGCCAGGGACCAGTCCCCCCCGGAGCTCGGAGCTTCTTGCTCCTCCGAAGGCTCCCGGGGCTCCGCTCCTGCTGGGAGAGCCCAGCACCGCTTCTCCCTGAGGCCCTGAGCAGGCCAGGGCAGAGCTGGGAGAGAAGAGCACCCGCATCCTGTGTGCTGGGGAGTGCCAAAGACACCAGGCTCCTCTCCCAGCCCGGCCGAGTCGGGGCAGCGCTGGGGTGCCCCCAGGGCATGCAAGGCTGCGCTTGGGGGTGATGTGTGGGGCCGCTCTCACCATCCCTTGTGTCCCAGCTACCCCCACGGCAGTGCCCACGTTTGCCGGGGGTGAAGGGAACTACACTGTGGAGAGCTCCTCTCCGAGGCAGGCGCTGCCCGAGCCGGAGCCCGCGCTGGCCGTCATCATCCTCATCATGTACCGCACGCTGGGGGGGCTGCTCCCCGCGCGCTACCAGGTGGATCGCCGCAGCGTCAGGTACGTCCCGCTCCCCCGTGCGCCCTGGGCAGCAAGGACTGCAGGCAGCGGCACTGGGAGGCTGCCTGGCCTCTGTCCTGCTCCCTCTCGGACCTGTGCGCAGGGGCTGGGGTTTGGGTCCTGTTGTGCTCTGCGTGTTCCTGGCTTGACGCTGCTCTGCCCCGCTTTGCTCACCCCTTGCTGTGGGCAGAGCTGTTCCTGCCAGGGTGGAGGTGCTGGCTTGGTGCTGGGGAGGGCCGCGGTCCCCGGGCTCGGTGACGGCAGCGCTCCGCCGCTCCTTGCAGGCTCCCCAGGAATCCCGTGATGAACTCTCCCATCGTGAGCGTGTCCGTGTTCAGCAATCACACCTTCCTGCGCGGTCCCCTCGACGCTCCTCTCGTGCTGGAATTTCGCCTGCTGGAGACGGCCAACAGGAGCAAACCTCTGTGCGTCCAGTGGAACCACTCCAGCCCGTGAGTCGAGCACGGCCGGGGCTCAGCCCTGCTGCGATCCCCTCGCTCCGCGCTGCTCTCCACAGGCACCTCCTGGCTCCCTGAGCCTCCCCAGCAGTGACAGCCTGTGTGTCTGGGCAGAACTGGGACGTGGGGGCTTCTGCTCTCTCCCAGGGGGGTCGCTCCTGCTTGGAAGGGCACAGTAGGATCCCTGCAGGACTCTGGCTCTGTTATTTTGGATTTGGGAGTGCAGCTGTGTCTGCTGATGGGAGAGCCTTGCCAATGGCCCCTCTGCTGTGCAGTTCCCTTCCTGCATGCCACGCTTGTGCATCCTCTCTTCTAAGCATGCTCTGCTTTTTGATGGCTGCAGGACCAACCCATCAGGTTTCTGGACAGCCAAGGACTGTGAGCTTGTGTACAGGAAGGCCACGCATGTCCACTGCCAGTGCTCCCAGTTTGGCACCTTCGGGGTCCTGATGGACAGCTCGCACCGAGAGGTAACCTCACGCTCCAGGCCCGCGGCACTGTCGGGTGCCCAGAATAAGCAGCCACAGGCAGAAAAATTGTGGGTGGACACAGAGGTTGAAAGCTCAGCAGGCTTCATGTGCCCTTCCCTAATGCCACCTTTGGTTTTTCTGCTGCAGCAACTGGAAGGTGACCTGGAGACGTTGGCGATTGTCACCTATTCCTTGGTGTCCCTCTCTCTGCTGGCCTTGCTGCTGACCTTCTCCTTCCTGACTTGCCTCAAAGGCCTCAAGTCCAACACACGTGGCATCCACTCCAACATATCAGTCACCCTCTTCTTCTCAGAGCTCCTCTTCCTGTTGGGCATCAACCACACAGAGAACCAGGTGTGGGCAGGAGCGGGCACACGCGCTGTGGGGCTGATTTCAGTTCTTCTGTCCTTTTGTGAGAGATTCTGGACCGAGGCCTGGTCAGAACTGAGCAGGTGGCCTCCTGGAAAGGGAACACTGGGGTTGTGTGGATGGCGAGAGGAAATCTCCTGGGGGTTGGAGGGATTAGATGCTATTTCCTTCGGGACCTGTCTTGCAGTCCCAGCGGGGGGATGTGGAGAGCTGGGGACAGAACAGTTAGCAGTGGCACGGTGCCATCTCTGAGTGGCTTTTGCCTCCCGCAGTTCCTGTGCACTGTGATCGCCATCCTCCTGCACTGCTTCTTCCTCTCCACCTTCGCCTGGCTCTTCGTGCAGGGCCTGCACATCTACCGCATGCAGACCGAAGCCCGCAACGTCAACTTCGGGGCCATGCGCTTCTACTACGCCATCGGCTGGGGGGGGGCCGCCGGCCTCAACGCGCGCACCGTCCCCCAGCCGTGACAGAAGGGCTGCATCTCTGCAGCCTCCTGGTCCCCTGGGGCCACTCAGCTCCAGTCCTTGTCACGGGCAAGTGTTTGGGTGGGCCTGTGGGCCCCCGTGCTGGTGGCGAGCAGTGCTGGCCTCTCCAGCCAGGGGCTGCTGCCCTGCCTCCCGGGCAGGGGGAACGTCACCGTTTGCGGGTGCGATGCCCTTGTTGCCGTGGAGCTCATGGTGGGCTCTCCTGGTGTCCCAAGTGCAGGTGTTGGGCTGAGGCCGCTCTGCCGAGGCCGGAGTGGCTGCCTCTGCCCCTGACCTCTGTCTCCCTCTCCCAGGGCTGGCTGTTGGCCTGGATCCTGAGGGCTACGGGAACCCTGATTTCTGCTGGATTTCCATTCATGATAAGCTGGTCTGGAGCTTTGCAGGCCCCATTACTGTCGTCATTGTGGTAAAACCCTGTCCTGTTTCACCCACAGCCCTCTCTCTGCTCCCTTCTCAGCACCATGGGTGCTCGCCTCTTCCTTGGGTGTCTGCTGCTTGCCCCCTTCTCTGTGCTGTGCTCCCTCAATTGCAGCCCCTCTCTCTGCCCCCTGCTCACCCCAGCAAGTACTGGAGGCCGTGGAAAGGGTGGGAAGGGAAGGAAGTCCATGCAGGCCTCGCAGAGCAGGAGTCTGTGCTCCGGTGTGGGGGTGTCAGGCCAATGCCACCCTCGCACCTCTTCTAACCAGTGCCACCACTTTCAGATGAATGGGGTGATGTTCCTGCTCGTGGCTAAGATGTCCTGTTCCCCAGGCCAAAAAGAGACCAAGAAGAAATCGGTTCTGTGAGTATTGATGGCCAGACTCCCAGCAAGGCTCCTACTGCTCATGGTTTTTTGCCATTTCCAGTGACCATCCTCCCTTTTCATCCATCGCCAAGCATCCTCTGTGCATCAGCGTCAGCCTCAAAGCTACTCTTCTCTCTCACCTGGTGCCTGTGTTAACCCTTCCTGAAGTTCATGCTCTCCTCTTGTTCCTACACGCTCCTCTCCACGCTGTCCTGGCAGCCTGTCCCCTTCCCTGCCCGCCCTCGCTGCCACCTCTCCCATCTGCCTGGATGCATCACTCTGCCCTCGATGGCTCTTGGTGCCTGTTTCTTCCTTCTCTGGACGCTCCTTCCGAAACCTTTCCTCACTCATCGTCTCCTTCCTTCCAGGCCAGCCTGGAGCTCACCTCAGCTCCTCTCTCCATGGCTCCAAATGACCTGTGTCATCTGGGCCCTGTTTGCTGTGTGTGATCCAGAAGGGAATGCCCTGGGAGCAGGGGGACCGGGTCGCTGTGCAGAGGGAGCTGTGGCCCGCGCTGCGGCGGGCACAGCGCGGCGCGCTGGACGCGGCCGCTTTCCCCTCTGGATCTCTGTGTGTGGGCGCTAGGCTGTGGATTAACAACACGCACTAACCTCTCGGCGTGTGTGTGCTTGTGTCTGTCTGTCTCTCTCTCCAGCATGACGTTACGGAGCTCCTTTGTTCTGCTTCTAGTTATTAGCACTACCTGGCTCTTTGGCCTCTTGGCTGTCAACAACAGTGTCCTGGCTTTCCACTACCTCTACACTGTCCTCTGCAGCCTCCAGGTAACTGCCCAGCCTCTGCCAGAGGAGGCAGCAGGGACAAAGGTGCCTTCTGTGCTGCCCCCAGCCCTGCCCTGGCCGAGGCCTCTGCAGGGCCCACGCTGGGAGCACAGTTGTCCCCCCGGGAGCCTCAGGAGCTGGGGACAGGGAGCACTGCAGCACCCAGCTCACTGGGGCTCCTTGAGGCCCTCAGCGTCGCGTGCAGGAGGCACCGGGTTGGTGAGCCATGGCCATGGGCAGCCCAAGGGAGCCTCCCTGCGCTCCCCACGGCCACCCCGGCTGGCTGTGACGAGCTGTGTGGGGCTGAAGTTGTGGACAGGCATCTTGCTCTGCCACCCTCTGCCTGGGGACACCCTTCCTGTTGCTGCTGCTGGCCTGTGGGTCGGCACTACGGGGCCAGGGGGGGATAGCAGTGCCGCTGGGGCTCTGTCAGCACCAGGACCAACACGGGGGGCTCTGAAGGAGGTGCCAGACCCGGGTCCTGGCCCAGAGCCTGTGCTGCGGGCGAGGGTCTGGAGCACCCTGGAGCCAGGTGCCCACCCCCCTGTCCCTTCCACGGGCTCCCTGCCACCCTTGTGCTCACTGCATCGCTTCTTGTCTCTCCCTGCCAGGGCCTGGCCGTGCTGCTGCTGTTCTGCGTGCTCAACGAGGAGGTGCAGGAGGCCTGGAGGCTGGCCTGCCTCGGCAAGAAGGCGCCGGGCGAGGAGGCCGGCCGGAGCGCGCAGGTGGGAGCCGGGCACCTTTCCCCCGGGCACGGCGGGGACGTCCCTTCTTCGCCAGGGCCCCAGCGCCTACAACAACACGGCGCTCTTTGAGGAGAGCGGCCTCATCCGCATCACCCTGGGCGCCTCCACCATCTCGTCGGTGAGCAGCGTGCGCTCTGCCCGCACCCACTCCAGCCAGCGGGGCTACCCCAGGTAGGCAGCGCCGCGGGGGCCGGCGGCGCCGCGGGGGGCACGGTGCCCGCGCTCACTCGCCCTGTGTTCCAGGGACAACGTGACTGCGCGCCAGGGCTCGGCCCTGGACCACAGCCTGCTGGGGCACACGGGCCCCACGGACCTCGATGTGGCCATGTTTCACCGCGACGCCGGCGGAGGTAGGGTCCAAAAGCGGGACCAGCCTGTCCTGAACGAGCGCTGGCCTACGCAGCCCATTCCCCGGGCAGGGTCTGGCTGCATGGTTACGTCCTCCAGCCCATCAGGGAATGCTTCTGGTGACAGGCAGAGCCGCAGCCACGTTGCTTAGCGCGTCCTCCTGGGCTGCTGGCAACGGGCACAGCTGGTCTCCAAAGGGTGGAAAATGGAGGAGGCAAGAGCTGCCCCTGGGGCTGGGACACCGGCTGTCGGAGCTCCCCGGTGACGCGCCTCGTCCCGGGCAGTGACACAGACCGAGGCAGGAGGGCTGAGCACGGGTCTACGCTCCCCAGGGCCACGCAGACAAGTCACCCCCGGGAGCAGGGCCAACAGGGACCACTCGCAGATGGGGCTGGAGCTGAGTGGGGTGAGAGGAGGCCAGGAGCGCTGGGTTTGTTCGGCCTGGGGAAGGTGAACAGGGGGTTGCTGCCGTCTGTAGCTCCCCTGGGGATTGTGGAGACATCAGAGCCAGGCTCCTCTTGGAGGAGGTGGGGCAAGAGGGCGCCGACATGAGTTGCAACAAGGGGAGCTGTGTTAGGTACCAGGCAAACCCTTTTCCCATGAGAGTGGTCAAAGCGTGGCACCTAGCCCAGACAGGGGCTGAGTCTCCATTCGTGCAGGCACCCGGAGCCCAGCGGGTTCAGGGGCCGAGCAGCCTGTTGCAGATGGCCCTGCCTTGAGGAGGGTTCGTGCCAGACTCCCCTAGATCCCTCCCCATCTCAGTTTTCCTATGATGCTACCGTATAGCATGAGCTTGTCCTTCCTCATTTGTGCTGAAAAACGTCATCCGCCTCCATTCCAAATTTCTCCCCGTGCCCACCATGTCCCTGCAGACCAAGACTCGGACTCGGACAGCGACCTTTCCCTGGATGAGGAGCGCAGCCTCTCCATCCCGTCCTCGGAGAGCGAGGAGAACGTGCGGCTGCGCGGCCGCTTCCCGCGGCAGCTCAAGCGAGCGGGGCGCAGCGAGCGGCTCCTCACCGACCCCTCCAACACCGCTCCCAAAGGTGGGCACTGCCAGGGCAAGGGCTGGCCTCAGGTCTCCTGTGCTCCAGGGCGCTGTGGGCATGGGGACCAGGCCATGTCCTCGATGGCTTTGTTTGCATCTCACAGAGCTGTTTTCTCCCTCTTTCCCGGGGCCTGTTTCGCTGTCTTCTCCAGCAGACGTGGATGGCAACGACCTCATGTCGTACTGGCCGGCTCTGGGCGAGTGTGAGGTTCACCCCTGCTCCCTGCAGAAGTGGGGCTCTGAGCGGAAACTGGGCTTTGACATCAACAAGGACGCAGCCAACAACAACCAGCCAGACCTGGCCTTGACCAGCGGCGATGAGAACTCCCTCACGCAGACCCAGCGGCAGAGAAAAGGTAACGACCTGCGGCGAGGGGCAAGGGCAGCCTGGCCCGTGTGAGGTTCACACACACCTGAGGACTCCGCGTGAGATCGATGTTGTCATGTCCTTGGGGAGCTACAGCTCAGCTCCCCTGGCTGTTTTCGTGCTGTTTTCACTGCTCTGCAAGCGTTTGACTTCTCTTTCTGTGTGTCCCAGGGATTTTGAAGAACCGCCTGCAGTACCCTCCGGCTCTGCAGGGCTTGCCGGCTGTGGGCAGGATGACCAACGAGCTGTCGTGGTACAAAACGTCCACGCTGGGTCACAGGGCTGTCCCTGCCGCCTCCTACGGCAGGATCTAATCGGGGGCAGGCAGCCTGTCACAGCCAGCCAGCCCGGACTCGCCAATGCTGATGAGGAAACAGATGTCCCGGGAGCAGCTGAGCAGGAACAATTCAGGAGACTGCTTGGAAGTTGTGCCCAGCCGGCATGGCTCCAGGGAGGAGCTGGACACCATCCCTAGCCGGCACGGGTCTACGGAGCACCTGGAAAGTATTCCCAGCAGACATGGATCTAGGGAAAACTTGGATCTGCTAGTTCCTAGACCCAGCCGGAGAGATCACGGGAACACGCTGCCCCGGAGGCAGGGCTCCAGGGACCACCTGGAGACTCTACCCTGCAGGTTTGGGTCAAGAGAGCAGCTAGACTGTGGGCCAGTAAGAGAGGTCTCTAGAGAGTGGCTAAACACATTGCCAAGTAGGCAAGTGTCCAGAGACCGCATAGACACGTTGCCAAGTCGAGATGCTTCTCGAGAACAGTTGGATTTGCTTTCTCGAAGACAGCTGTCAAGGGACCAGCTCGCGTCGGCCAGGCAAACGTCAAGAGAGCAGCTGGACTTTCTTTCTAGAAGATCTAATTCCAGAGAGGCTCTGGATACAGTGCCTAGCAGGCAGCCGTCCCAGGAGAATCTGGGGTGTCTCTCTAGAAGACAACTGTCTCGGACCGCTCTCTAGGAGACAGCCTTCCAGAGAGCACCTGGAGGCCATCCCCAGCCGACATCCTTCCACCGAACAGCTCGATATCCTTTCTTCCATCCTTGCTTCCTTTAACTCCTCTGCCCTGGCCTCGGTGCAATCTTCCAGCACGCCTTCGGGCCCGCAGACCACGGCCACGCTCTCCGCCATGCAGACCTCGATGCCCTCCGCGCTGTGCCCCTCGACGCCCCGCTCCGCCACCTCCCACAGCATTTCGGAGCTGTCGCCAGACTCGGAGTAAGTGCGTCCCTTCCTCACCCTGGCTTTGCACAGCCCGTCCTACCTGTTGTCCCTCTGCCTGCCCTCCTCCCTCTGGAGTTTTGTTTGGGAAGGGAGGGACGTGTCCGGGTGCCTCCCCCGAGGCGTCTCGGGGACCTGAGTGGTGGCATCTCAGGGAAAGCCACCCCTCGCCGGGGCTTTGCTCCCTTCCTGCACTGCTGGCGTCCCGGCCCCTTCCCTG